AATCAAGTGCCACTGCATGCTCATCACCAGCAGACACGTGGACCACATGAATATCCTTTCTTCTAAATGTCTGGATTGCACGTGGCCGGAACTCATCATGTTGCTCTCCATGACCAAGACAAAAATTAGAACCGGAACCAAAAGAGTAAACTACACCGTTGTCAGTTAAAGCTAAAACGTAACTGGGACCAGCAGCTATTTGAACCACAGAACCAACTCCCTCGAGCAGTTCAATTATTTTGGGTGTTGGTCTGTCTAGCGTGTCACCATGACCAAGTTGCCCATGTGTGTTCGTCCCACAAGTATAAAGCTGGCCTTGTCTTGTGAGGAACACTGTAAAGTTCAGGCCAACAGCAACCTGAAACAATTCCCAGCTTTTTTTTTAATTTAATTAAAAAATCAAGAGAAGAAACAAAAGCAGCTGGTCCCAGTGAAATGGTCCCAAAACACTAACAATATTGTGTTGAAGAAGCACACAATTGCCTAGCAGGAAGAAAGTATAACCCCCATGCTTAAACTAAATGCTTTTACCCGTATTTTAATCAAGTCTTCAAGAAAATCAAGTAACATGTGATTCTGCAGAAAAGTCACTGACGCGTAAAAAAATTAAATGAATATCAGAAAATTAACTCAGCACTGGAGACAAGGCACAGTTTGCTATCCAGGCAGCTTGGTATTAACCGCAAGACAATGGTTGGATATAGCAGGAATTGTTTTCTTAAAATAAAATAAAAAAAATCAACTTAAATAAGAAAATCATTGTTAAGAAACAAAAGCCCTTGAATGTGTATTGGTCATAAGAGCCTCACCAAAAAGGTTGAGAACAACAATTTTACATGTTACTATAGATCATCCAACACCAACTAAAATACATATCTGTTACCTAGGAACCCATAGGAACACTCTTAAGAAGTGACATCAGTAAGAATACAGTATAGTGATATGCATGTTACCTGCTTGCATGGAACTCCCTTCAGTGCCTCAACTAGCCTAGGCCTAAATATGGGGCGATTAGTATCGTTGTGGCCGCAGCAAAATGATGAATTATCACCGCATGTGAAAACCTGCATCATTAAATAGCCATCATCTGAGGGACATGACAAATTATCAAAACCAAACTCGTGATTATTAAACCATATGTCTCAACTGCCAGTCAGAATACAGTATGTGTTTAAAAGCTTGTTGATATAGTATGTTTATTGTGCATAAAAACTACAGCGACATTAATAAATCACAACCCTCATTTGCAAACAGAAGGAGATGCATGCCACATGGTTGAGGCTTCTAGACAACATAGAAGCAATACATGTCCAAGGTTATCACAGTCTTATAATGAAATATGAAGCATATTCACCCTTAATATTCCCAGACTGCATCAGCATCAACAGAACCATTTTTTAGTAGGAAGTCTTGAACTCCCAACTTCTCAGACAAAGGAAATTATGGAATATGAAAATGAGAAATGGCAGTGCTCTTAATTACTTGCACCAAAACTTTCTTTTAGGCATCCAGTTCTATGAAGCAATAACATTCCTAAAACTATGAAACTGCATATTGTTTTTTTTTTTTACCATTGATGCTGGGTCAAACATCATTCACACATGAAACCACCAAAATTTAAGAGCCTAACCATATAGCAGCTTGCTCAATATTATTATTTTTACTTTTTATCATCCCCACTGTGGCCCTCTAAAGGTCTACACCAAAGCCTGCTCATTCTAGCAATTAGTTCAGAGCAAAACAAATGACTGATGAAATATGAAGTATGACCAGTAACAAACCTCTCCGGACTGCAAAACAAAAGCAGCATGATTATGGGAGGCTGAGACTTGGATCACATAAGCCAAAGATGGGAATCTAATCTGTGTGAATGCTACACATTGTGTTGTTTCAGCACCATGTCCAAGAACGCCACACAAACTGGAACCACAAGAATATACAGATGAATCTCTGATCAGCAATGTGTGATATCTTCCGGTTGTGACCTGCATCTGTTGATTTAACCCAAAGAGAATAAACATTGATAACTCTTCCAGATGCATCAGCCTAAATACGAAAAGGACTAGGATACAAAAAAAAAAAAAAAATATAAAAAAAATAAAAAAAAAAAAGAAAAGGTGGGCAAGGTTTGGCACAAATCACAAGTTTATTACCGCATGAACTTGAATGTCCATCCTTTGTGGAAATCAATTGTAATTTTCCTAGTGTTACGAAAAGGGACTGCAAATAATTTTCCTAATATTTCCTTAACACTACTTTGTAACATATGCCAATAGAAAAGGGACTGTAAATAATTTTCCTAATATTTCCCTTCTAGAACCTTAACACTACTTTGTAACATATGCCAATTGATAATAGGTACCACACTACATTATTGATGCAATAGCAAACAATAGTAGCCATTAGAACTCTAGATTCCCTTTCTAATATTGGCTTGTCCTGTCTTAGTTCATAATGAGAAAGCCAACAGCGATGTTCCCATCCGTCATAATTCACAAGGAGAACAACCACGGCAACATAGCTGTTAGGACAAAAGCCTAATAACATCATTTACTGCAAAATAAATGTTGAGAACATGTAGAATACAAAGGATATAACAGAACAATATAATTACTTCTGCACTCGTGTAGTTCTTCAATCTTTCATTTGGAATGTAAGAATATAAGAAAGAACACATACATTGGATGCTGAGGTCTTGACCATGCCTGATGATTCCTCCACGGCTTGCAAGAACCTCAAAACCCGCTTCCAATTCCCTTCACATCGACCAAACAACCCTTTCTGAGCATTCCACCCCATCCCACTATACACTCTATGAGACACACACAGCTGATACGCTGCAAAGTCCACCAGCGACCTAAACTTTTGAGGGTACAACCCATGACTCCCTCCAAATGTCCTAGAAGTCAACTCTAAACACGCGAGGTCGACCGCACTAAGCCTACCAGTGGTCAGTATCTCAAAAATCAAATGTGATGGCAAATCCTCGATGGAAACCGATCTATTCTCATCGGCCATTTATATCAAATTCCTCAGTTTTCACAACACACCACCAATCCTTTACCCTCAGAATCCAACACTTGTTCTCCAAAACGGATAACAAGCGACCTCAATTCAACAAGACCAAGCTCAAACAGGGCCGATAAATAAGCGAAAATGTATCAAATTTTTAGACGAAATCTATTGTAATTAAAGCAACATATGAAGAAAACAACATCAGAGGGAAGAAAAATAGAGGTGATAGAATACAAGAAAGGGGGTCCAAGTGAGATTATCAAATTATGTTTTCGATACAATGATTGGAAATAAAACATCAGAAGAGAAAATATTCTCACACAAACTCCCAAAAATTTAATCAGACAAATTCTCCAAAGCCAACAGCTTAACCTGCAAAATTGAGCGCAATTCAACAATAAATTAGATCAAAATTCACTTCTCAAACCAAAAACAGAACGAAATGCAAGATCTTGAGACACAAACCTGATTAAACACCATCAACAACAAAAGGGTTTCAGTAAAGCTCTCAACTTTAAGACAACAGTGAATAGAATGTGAGATTTTGAGATGAAAAATAAAAATCAATATACAGAAAAGGGGTTTTGATGACTAGTGATCGCTCACCAAACCGACAAAGAAAGCAATAGAATTTCACTTTTTTAGTGGTGACCGAAATGTAGCCAAATTGAGCACAAAAGGAAGAGAGAATTGAGGAAAGGTAGGGTCTTGAAGGTGTCTTTATGGCCACATTTTTCTTAGATGTCAGCCAGTCATGGTATCTCTCTCCAGATTTTAGTTTTAGTTTCTTCATTTTATGGTTTCATTAGTAAGAAAGAGAGATGGTTGCATTGGAGCGAATTTGGGCACAGAAAGAAGAAAAAGTCCTTTCGTGGATTCTGCTTGCTGGACTTCACTCAAATTTGCTACCTTTTGCGGTTGACACGTGGAATTCAGTGGAGTTGCCATGTGCGATAAATGAAGTGGTTTTTTGGGCGTCAGCTTTGCAACCCTGGGAAGACGAAGGACGGAGTGACCATATTTCGCGCGTAGATGAAGGGTGCCTTCTGCGCACCCATGCAACCGCTGTTTTGTTAAATTTAATTTTTTATTGCTACAATTAATTTTTTTATATATATTTTTAAATCAAAACTAATTCTCTTTGTTTCTTTCAGTTGTATTACAGATACATTTTGATTTAGTAGTTACAACGATAGCTATAGTTTTGTGAATGTTGCTATTACAATGGTTAAAAAAAAAAGTCTGTTTGATTATAGGATGTTGTAGCATAAGTTTTATATAAATAATCTAAATAAAAAGCTTGAAAATTCCTGGCCACTTTTTCTTGAGGAAGGCAAGTAGCTAATTCACTGTATTAAGTTTCCCATTGCTCTGCTTAAATTTCTTAGCAATGGCGCCTGCTAAAGTCATCGAAGACTTGACCTGCTAATTCCTCTACGGCTAATCAGAATATTGAAGAAGTCCTTTCCCCTCCCATGGAAGAAACACCCTTGCAATATTAATTGTCCCTCTCGTCACTGAAAGCACAGCAATAATTATTATGAGCAGCGAAGCCATGGACTTCTCTGAAGATGTCCAAGGTTCAAGGAATAACTTGGGGGGCAAGCCATCATCTACTAAGCCAGCCAATCCCGAGAGTTCTTTTCTTATAAAAATATTGAGACGTGTTTGGGTGTTTGGTACAACAATAAAAATTAATTTTTAAAATAGACAACAATGGCAGTGCTGCGCCAAAACAGACACTAAGCATTAAAAAAATCAAAAGCCCACAGGCTATTTCTTATACCTTTTCTTTTCTGTCATACGGGCCAGCCTGCATTTAAGGCCGTACTGTCAACGGACCAACCTGGGCCCATTATAGTTTTAGGCATCAACAAGGTTGATTATTTGTCAAATGACCCAGGCCCATTATATTTTTCAGATGACCCAGGCCCAATATTTTTCTGCTGTTGGTTTTAGCTTGTTTTGTTTCGGTGTCTGTTCGTGGCACAGTTAGGTTATTAATCAACTTCTTTTTGGATTCAGGTTCGGATATGGAGAGTACCAAACCTGACCCCTGGTACCCTGGATCACACTTGTTTTCCATTTCACTCATGGAACACAATTAAAAGTGTCGTGAGCCTTCATCAACCAGGGACCTGAAAGGGTCTTTAAGCACTAGCCCAGTTCTCGATAGTGTTGTCTTGCTTGTCTGTATAGATAAAGACAATGGAGGCAGACTTGATGCACCATGATAATCAAGAAGATGGAGCCGAAGAAGAAGACTATGTGCTTCTTGATCTTGATGCTGTTTTTGCCCAAGTTGATATTTCTCCAGATACACCATATGTTCTTTCTGTAAGTTTTAACTAATCCCTTCTACAATTTGCTAAGTTTTTGTTTCTTTTGACACTGAAGACTGCGTCTTTGAGTTTTTTAGCATCAACCCGCTTCAATTTCTTTGATGAATATGGTAAAAACTGAGATTTTACTGGGTTTTGCATTTGCATGAACATTTCCATGCCATTATTTATTGAATTTTAATTATGTAGTTTTTGTTTGCTATTTTAAGCCGATAAACTGTATGTTGGACTGTGGTTTACAATTTCCGAAAATTATGTACAGATTTTAGGTGCTGCAATTCATGCTTTATTACAATTTTTTTTAACGAGTAAAGGGCCCTTCTTATTTTGAGTTTACTTGAGCATGCCATAGTTATAATTTTGATCATTGAATTCGAAATGTACATGCTTTTGCTAGAGTAAGCTGAAACAATTGTGTGTTTGTATTTTGATTTGTGACTTGCTAGTTCGGATATTTTTCGTTGTTTTTTAGTTGCATTTCATGTATTATTAAAATTATGTAATAAACAAGAAGGCCTTTCGATTCTTTGACACCACCCCATATTGAAATATTGCTTACTGCTGCTGCTTGAAGGATTCAACAAGGAAAACCCTTCACTGTTTTCTGATTTTCTTGAACTTTATTGACTGGGTGCTTTATTTTTAGTTCAAAGGGATGATGATGGCTTCTAATTTTCTTTTTTGACTCAGAATTTTGTTGACTCGGTATGACTTTTCCTTGGGATCAATTGCTTTTATTTCTTTTGCCTGCTAATAAAGTTAATAATTTGCTTTTGCTTTTATTTCTAGAGTGTCTAAATTCTTCAAACCATTGATTTTTTCTTTTCATGTCAGCATTTTTCTTTTAGTTAATCATTTGTTTGAACTCTAGGGTCTCGACACTGCAGAGCCAATATTGATTATAGATGACAAAGTGAAACTGGTGAGTGGATGGCTTGACATATCATTTATTCGTTTTTGTATTCATTTCGAGTTTGAAGGGCTATAACATGGCTAACCTGTTCAGTTGACTGACATTGATAACAAACATATGTTTGGTTCTGTTTTTTGCTTTCTCAGATTGGGAAATATGAAGATACAATCGGTACATGCTTTGTTTTCTCAGAAAATGGTGAGCTTATCTCTGCCTGTCTTCTTTGGTTTAAGGAACTAGACTAAAAAGAAGTTTTCCTTGCATAAATTAACCACCTAGCTGACTTGAGGGTTAATCAATCATCTCTTATATAATATGCTAGTTTTGCGTCCCCCCCTATCATTCATTCTTTGGCTACCATGATAAATTGATTGATTCTCAATTTTGGTCCTGTTATTGGCTTTTATGGCAAATATCAAGGGAAATTGAATGATTCTACCGCATAACAGAACTATTAACACAACTATGAATGTCCGCATGGGAATCTAGATGTAAGTCTCAAAATATGACCTATTATTTAGAAGTTATTGCACAAGACTGGCGAAATTAACTTCCCATTTACATCAAATATTATAGTGCGTTTTTTTGTGTAAACTTTAACAAATAAAACCTGGATCTAACAGCTAGGACATGGGATCATCAACTCACCTTTGGATTTTTGTTTGCAATTAATTGTTTATAGCAATGGTTCACCAAGAGAATTGGATGATTCGAGAGTGGGGATTTGATATTTGTTACTGCAATTCTGCTAACAGAAAATTGTGTTTGCAGAAGCTGCCCCTTTGATTCTAGAAGAGACAGGACCATCAGAAGCAAACCTTTTTGCAGGCAGATGTATAGTGGATCCTAACCAAGCTCCAACCAAGGAAGTGAAACCAGTTGCACAGCTCCAGAAGATCCTAAAGTTTAGGTTGTTAATGGACGAGGATGTTCAAGATTTCATTGTGGAATCAAAGACATGAAATTTGTGAGTGGAGAAATCCCCTCCTCCTGGATTTCGATGCAAATATTCTTTTCCGTAAATGAAGATGGTTGGCCTAGCTAGTTGATGGTAAATGCTGATTATTTAGTAAGATGGTTTCAGATAGAATAACCTCGGTTGTGCTGTCAGACTCTCCCAAGTCCCAGTAGTTCCATTTGCTCTACAGCATGTATACTGTTTTCTGTAGTTTTGTTATTAAAAACGTCTGATTTCAAACACACTAGTTTTGAATTGTGTTCACTCGATGGCAGAAATCAAATTTTTCTCCAAGGATTTTATACTGCTAGATGCTATAAAGGTTAACATTACATTAGTTATGTCAGGGCAATGATATAATGTCATGTTTTGTTAGAAGTAATGAATTCTATAATATAATGGTCCATTATATTTCCTTCTATGCTTCGTTGTGCTATTTCAAAATTGTGATGTAATTGAGGATTATAATTGTAATGAATTATTATATTACAAGCAATATATATATATATATATATATATATATATATATATATATATATATATATATAAAGACTGACTATTTGGGATTTAATTGGAAAAAAAATTATCACAAGGATCAGGGTGTAAATTTTACAAAATACAAGGACCCAAGAATTTTAAATGAAGATCAATTATTAATTAAATAGAAACTAAAATGAAATTTTATCAAACATCCTCTATATTATAAAAAGTTCTACAATCAAACAAGGAATATAATAAATTATCCCACATATTTGTTATATTATATTTAATATCTTGATAACGTGGTTAGTAATGTATTAAAATAATATTTTTTTAATTTTTAAAATTTAATTTTTAATATTATTATAACAAAACAATTCAAAAATATAAAAAATATTTAATTTTTTTTTTTTTTTGTAAAGCCTTGCATAAAGATAAATCCCTTGATATGGTGCTTTTAGCTCCACAATTTACAAGCATGTGCATGGATGCAGTGGCATAAACAAAGAGGCATGAGATTGGTGTGACAATTCTGGGGAATCATCAACTAGAACATGATTCCAAGCGGTACAGCCCGATCCTAAGACAAAAATGCGCCCCCCAACAAAAAAAAAAAAAACTCTTTTGTCAGACAAGTATAAAAAATATGATCATCACCATGCTGCAGAGATTAGTGTATGACGCTGAGTTCAAACTTGGATCGCTCCTTTGGTCTTATAGCTCTAGCCGTAGGGAAGCGAGCTCCCTCGACCGAAGTCTATCACTTGCAATGAAGTCTGGATACCAAAAAACTAGAGCAACAACAGAATTTGCTGCAGCCATAACAATACACATTACCAGTAAAAAATCAAAACATGTTCAGTGTAATTCAACTAGAACCAATTAGAATCACGATCCAAATCAAGCTTGTGTAGAAATAGTTTTATAAACCAAACAATACAGCCCCGAGTTGGGAAATCAAGCCTTTCAAATCATTAGCTTTGCAAAAGACAGAAAAAACTTGGAAGTCGCATGAAGATTCTGAACAGAAAAATACAGAAGCGAGTAATGTAATTTGGAGCTAAAAGAGATGATGGAAAGATGAACAAGCTAGTGCTCTGGTATTTTGTCCATCAAATATTTCAGAACCGCTTTAGTTCCCCTATCCAAAATTGTTCTCCGGATGCTGCAGCAATAAAAGCACACATAGAAAGTCAGTAACGACCGTGGTTCAAATTCTCACAAAAACGATGAACAAAAGAGAGGGTCTGCTCTTGGTCAGTCAACCATGTTTGATTGTTTCATAACAAAAGAGTTCTCGGTATTGTCATTTAACCATTCGTAAGACTTCATGAAAACAGGAAGTCTCTCTTTCTTGACTCATTGAGTCCATTTTTCTTTAAGGTAAGTTATATATAGTCGAAGGTAAAATTCTTCTCGTGCATCTTTGCGAAGGGACTTTCCTTTAGTCCATGCTCAAATAGACTTCAACCATTTAAGTACAAGAGTACGAAATGAAATTACTAATGTGAAACTGTCTAGAAATCTAATCAATTGAAATTAAGCCTTAACCAGAACTACAGCTAGTCAGTTTGCATTAATCCATTTTTAATTTCTGTCATGTAGGGCAACATCCTCTGAAGTTAATAACTTTTTCATACCACAGATAAATATTTATGAAATTGCAGAGTCAACAATGGTAAAAAGCATCTCACCTTCTCAATGGATTTCCATCAAGTCTTAAGGCTTGGAGGCTCGGCTCAAGCAAACCCTGAGGAAAGAAATCATGTAAACCAACTGAAGGAAACATCTTATCTAATTGGCATGCAGTTAAATCAAGCTTGACAAACTAATTAGGTGACCCACTTTATAGACGCTACAACAAATTTTAGTGATTTGCTGTGCAAGTTCCAATTTCAATAAGAAGAAACAAAAACAAAGAATAAAAGTTGTGTAATAAGAAAGGCTAAGCTAAGAACCATCCATGTGATTATAATGAAAGCTACGAATAAATTTAAGCAGCACATATAGAGAGTTCCTACGGTTGTCATAATTTATTTGCTCCAAGCATGCAAATTCAGTACATGAAATTTTGGATCCAGTTATATCAACACAAAGGGGAAAGGACTAGGTATCCTCACCAGCTCTGGAGGAAGTGCTGAAATATTATTGTCAGACAGGTCAAGCTCAGTGAGAGAGGTGAGATTTTTGAACCCCTGCATGTCATATTAGCAGACCATCAAGGACTCAACACCAAAAAAATGCACCAAAAGGGAAAGAAGCTGCTTGTTTTCTTTTTTAAGAGAAACAAGATGTATTAAATAATTCAATTCTATTCAAATTTAAATGTAAATAGTTAAATTAGAAAGACATTGAAGAAAAATCTATAAAAGAAATGATAAGAGTTTAATTTCTCTACTCAATTAGTAATATCCCCAAAGCCCACTTCTTTCCAAATGGAAAATGAAGGACTACCATCACAGTAGCAGGGCCAACATATTTCAATAACCAATAAAATAAAAAAATAAAAAATTCAAATAGATGGCTGGACCAAGAAAAAATGGCGTTCTTGTCCTATATGGATCCTTTTCAAGCTTTGTCTATCAACATTAAAGCTATGAAAACTACGCTGACATTAACAAGTTTCAAGTAAAAAAGAAATCAGCAGATGCTTTGGCAGGTGATTTTTTTTTTTCCCTGGTAAGCAAATAAACTACCTCTGGAATTGAGTGAAGTGAGTTTTGGCTCAAATTCAGGATTTGCAGTTGCTGTAAGCTCAATATATCTGATGGGATTTCACGTAATTGAACTTGTCTGTCAAAGTAATACAGAAGTTAAGACATATCAAAAAGATATTAGAGAAATATTTAAACAAAAAAAACCTAAAAATGTACAGAAAATGAATCACAGAAATACACACACATTCACCTATATGTGTGTGTGGATGCAATCAATGCATGTATTTTTGAATGCATGCATGTATACAAGCTTGTTATAATTTCCAGCCAACTGCTGGGCTGACCTGAGGTAAAGCTCTTTCAAATGAGGCAAGCTGGAAAATGCTGGATGGCCGTGTAGTGAAGCTGGATTGCCACTGAGATCCAGAATCTGAAGCATAGGGACTGCTAGAAATCCATCTGATGGAATCTACAGGTCAAGCAAAAATAACCGGATGACAAAGACAAACAACTAAAATAGACAAAATGGAGTTGGAAATCCATCTAATGGAATATTTTGATAGGGCATATGAAAATGACTTTGGTAGTCAGAAGCACATATTGAAATACAAACAAATGGAAAACTATCAGCATAGGGTTGAGCGCTATCCCCATCACAACCACAAGGTTGCCTATATGCAAATCTTGACCAGCAACATAAAAAGGATAACGACAAGAACCATGTGTGTAAGACAGAGTGGGAGGGAGAGAGAGAGAGGGGAGTATTAGGTTAACAAAATCATTACAGAATATGGAACAACTAATAACTCCTACAGCTCAGCTGGTTCATTTCATGTCTCTGTGAGTGCATCTATGAGAGAGAGGGATGAAGGGAGCTGTTAAGTTAACAAAACCATTACAAAATATGGAACAGCTGTTCAGTTAACAAAACCATTACAAAATATGGAACAACTAAATAACTCCTACAACAGCTGAGCTGGTCCATTTCATGTCTCTATTGTATTGTGTTATATTTGGATACAGGACAGAATCATAAACTAGAACCCTTTTACCTGTGTCAGTGCATTGTTGTCCAGCTTCAAACATATAAGATTGGGAAGTGATTTCAAAATTGCACATGGCCAGTCACTAATCTTGTTTCTGGATAAAATCAAACACTGCACATTTAAATAAATTTTAATTTGTATTAGTACCAGTTTCAGGTTATTTAAAATGCCTGCTGATCAATGTTTGACACTCAAGACCAGGCAGCGTCCAGTCAAAGCCAATCATAAATGACTTACACAAGAATCTAAGTAAGAGGTTGACAAATTAATTCTAAAAATAGTGAATGAAAAAGGTAAGTTCCAATGTTGATCCATCCAGAAGAACATCCCTGCACCAATATTTTTTGGTTTGCATACAGTTCACAAGATCAGTCACTGATTAATGCTTCAAAGTTCAAGGCTTCAAGCCACCTCAACATATTGGAATCAGATAAAACAATCTCCTGCCCACAATCCATTTGGTATGGTTATACCTCATTAAAAACTTTTTGAAGAATACCAAAAGGAGAAAACAAATTTCAAATTTAATGAAAGAGAGAAGGCCAGCTTCGATGCAGAAGTTGACTCAATATAAGGTAAGAGAACAGTTGCAAATAGAACATTTTACCTGAATGTGTCCAAACTCTTTGAGAAAAAACAAAAATAAGATGAGCCAAAAAAACTTGCCTGAAGGGAAACACACAAGGAGAGTTCAACTGGCAGCTCTTGAATAGCATTCCTGGATAGATCAACCTTAACAATTTCATTTGATTCCCATACTTCTGATGGGACAGCACTCAAACCCAGCCCTTGTAGAGAGAGTTCCTAAAAGCACAAATATCAAATGAGACAAAAAAGAAGAAGATAGGCATTATTAGTTTAGCAAATTGCAAGTACAGGTCCCAGTTGTAAGTTCAAATGGATGCTGAAATTATACACCTAAGTTTAATCAGCTACCAGAATCCCCTCTTTGCAGAGAAAGCTGTTAGACAAAAGTGATGAGCTGACAGTATTGTATATGTGCTAATGAAAGGTAATTTCAGTTTAAAAAAAACAAGCGAACAGATATCCTCAATATTTCAAATAATCTGCAAGATAAGGTTACAGGGAAATGATATGATGGTACCTTTGAACTGACAGACAATCTAGCTGTCATGGAAATTAAATCCTTCTTCGCTGGAGTAGTTGCTTTAGAATCTACATGAGAAGCAAGGCATTGTTATTCAAAACAATATGTAATTAGAAATCATGGAAATT